GACAGAACCGTAGGTGGAGTAGCTAGCGGTAGGATCAGAACTGCAGCAGTCACTTGTTTATCTCTCTCGTAATGCAGTGTAGTATGATGACATCCTCACACAGAATGACTCGATGATAAGCAGTTGAAGCACAAGCGGTTTGCTTGCACGTACTCAGTCCTCTTTTCTGGGGACAGCCTCCCATATTACTTACATTGGTATAGAGTGTCCTCCTGAACACATCACGCAAGTATTGATTGACACTTTCTTCTCGTTGTTGTTAACAGTGGAGTTAAATGACTTGTGTTTAATTATTTGTTTCGAAGTATTGTTCTGTGTAGCCTTTGGTGTATACAAGTTAAAAATTTGGTGTGTTTTTGGCCATCCAGCATCTCTAATGTTCGAAATCTAGTCTCCAAAAAACTCGCAAGTTAATTCCAGGACGGTAATGTGTTGACATTCTGACTCACATACATTTCCCATTGCTTGCGTGATTTGGTATCAAGTTCAGATAATACCAGATAGTTCATGATAGGGTTCCAAGTGTCAGTATTCATATCAAGATTCTTTAGTAACCTTAGACACGCAGATGTATTAGATACCCAGAAGTTGCTTCGTAAAGGTCGCTGACTCAGCAGCAATGGCCTTTTGGGAAAACAGACGCTTCATTATCTCGTTGCAATTGTATCTCTTGTTTATGTAGCGTTGGGTCAGTTTTATCCAAGCATCTTGATAATTTGCATCAGTCACTGCTAGGTTTCTCAAAAGCAGCTCAGGTTCTCCAGGCAGGTTACTTTTCAGATAGTGGAGCTTTTGAACCTCTTTTAAACTGGAATTGTTATGGACGATCAAAGTGAACATATCGTAGAAGCTCTGCCATTCGTGATTCTCAGTAAATTTTGGCAACTCCATTCTCGGTAGCTTCACGTCAGGTTGCGGGTTTCCAGTGGTTCCCAAACTTGTCTCCGAATTATTACCATTGTTGCTTGATTTAGTAGCTGGGCCGGTTGGAATAAGCTTCTCTAACTGCTCTAACAGTATACTCTTTAATGTCAAATATGTCTCTTCACAACAGTCATATGCATCATTGAGGAAGTACGCCAACTACTTCTGGTCGTCTGGTGATGTGGCAGCAAAAATCTAATATTGGTTGATGTTGAATAGGTCCCAATTTGCCTTTAAGGTCTCTTCTCTAATTCGGATATAGGGCACCGTAATTCCATCCTTCGGGGATTTTTTAAAGTTCTTAAAGGCCTTTGAAATACGCTCGCTAATCTCAATTTGTTTGAGAATCATTCAGTCTATCTCCTCCATGTTGACGCAAAACAAATATTCAAGTAACTATAAAGTTCACTGATAAATGTTCACCAAACGCTCGAGCGACTATGTCCAAAACACTTTAAAAAGTTCACAATACTGATTAAAACTACTTTTACGGATTTTATCGCGTTTATTTTACTATTATTTTTAATTCCCGACGTTTCGGGCGCTTTCCAGCACCCATGGTCACGGGGGGACTGAGATGACTGACGTCCCGATGTCATTGTTAAACCCGGAGTACCTTCAGCTTTTTTTAATTATTGTTTATGGTCCGATCTATGCAAAATGAACTGACTATGTCCTGAGGTCTTGCAGTGGTATGCTTGGGTTTAGTTTTAATTTTATTGATTATAGGATCCCAAGCAGGTGGTAGTACCCAGCCTCCTTCTCTATTGAAATTAGGATGTTTTTTAATTTCAATAGCCTCACGTATCATCCTTGGTAGGAATCGGTGTTCTTTTGCGAGGATTTGTGGTCTATCAAATCTGATGTAATATTTGGGGCCGTCTAGGATATAATCGCAAACTGCAGACTTGCCGGAACGTTGATGCTTCACATCAGCTATATGTTCTTTTACGCGGGTTCTAATTGATCTCTTTGTTTGTCCTATATAAGAGACCACATTCACAATCAAGCTTGTACACTCATGCATCTTGTAGAGGAATATGACACTTGACTGATGGTAGGAACTGACTAATCTTCTTCGGCGGCTTCTCGAATAGTCCTATAATCAGTAAAAAGTTAAAGTCCCGTAATCAGTATTTTTCACTGCACACGAAATATTTTAAGTTCTAAACACTTTGTCAATTTTATAGTTCACTCACAATTATTCTAAGTCACTTGTAATTTTTTCGTCACTTTACTCACTGTTACACGTATGTCCTCCTTCTCCCGGGTTTCGGCACCACTTTTTGTCTAAACTTACGGCTGTTGAATTTAAACTCCAGATGTCACCAGCAGTAAAAGAATTTTTATTTGCTTAAAATTCTCAGACCCTATATGGTTCGCCCGTGAACACAACGATAACAAGTTGTAATTCTGCGCTAGCGACATCTCTTGACATTTTTCGGTACTAAAATACTGAGGTCAGAGTAGAACGATTAGAACTGAATTTGAACAATGTTTTTAAACAGAACGATAGAGCCAATTTGTACAATATCACTTTCGTGTACTAACATGTATGTAATGATTGATTCCTGTGAACATAACATTTGAAATAGTCTGTACATCTGTAATATCTTTTCCTCGGGAAACAAATCTACCGGCAGTTCTTTTAGTATAACCGCATGCACTATCCGGTGCTCCTTTGCCATGACCAGGGGCTGAATAGGACCATTCAGCTTTCCGCGAATTAAGAACTAAGCAAGAGATTGCTAAAAAGGGAAATCATGCTTCTGTTGCGATATTGTGTGGACAGAGCGTCGCTGAGGAAATGCAGACTATGTATTGGTGATCTTTTGCTAATTTCATGTAGAACGAGTAAGACGTGAGCGTACACAGCACAGGCATCGTGGCGAAAAGATACGGTAAAGTGCAAAAATAGCGCATGACAACTTGATCAATGGTCAAATCACGGTAATATATAACTATTGTAAGTAATGTCAGCTGCTGGCGGGGACCTCAGAAATGTACGGATTGAATTTCCTGAAAATATTTTGTCTGATAGTTTTCTAAAAAGTTCATATGTAGTAATATCTCTCCAAATTCTTCTTTAAGTCGTTGATGTGTTCGTATTGATTCGTAATAATTTGTTTATGAAGCAAACATTTTGGTATCAGCTCTATTAAAAGTTTTACCAAATCTACTTTAGTAATTTGAATCGGGTCTTTAGCTGTTCTTACAACCAATTTTTCGGTTCCGTTTATGATGATATCCTTGATTCTTTTTTGACGTCCCATTTTTTGTAATAAGTTGGAGAGTCAATAAAAGTATTTAACGTTGGAACTCTTAATTTACAAACATTACACTGTCTTCGTACACAAATGTCCGATTTCATATTACAGACGAATCCTTTAGCAACTTCATTTATTGAGCAGTTCTGTAATATACGCAAAAAATACAACTTTTCGATAACGAAATTCAAGTTTGCGCCACGGTGAGTCCCCGGCGGCCCCGCTATTCCTGGGAACGGTGGCGACCATGGTAACGGCGGGGCAGGGGGTGCTAATGATCTCCAGTGGAGGTTCAGTTGCCACCTTAGACGATTCGACTTGCCAACATACAACGCACGCACCCTGAGAACTGACGAGAAGATCCCGGAGCTGGAAGAAGAGATAGACAAGTTGCGCTGGTATATTATAGGATTATCCGAGGTCCGAAGAGAGGGGCAGGACATGTGATTTTCAAATCCGGCATCACCGGGAGGGCGACCATCTGTCCCAAAGAGGTTTCGGATTTATCGTCCACAAGTCTCTTGTTAACAACGTTGTAAAGATTGAGAGTGTGTCGACGAGGCTTGCGTTGCGTACCTTATACTCAGAATCACCAAACGGTATTCGTTGAAGGTCATATAGGTTTACGCACCAACCTCGGCACAACCCGATGAGGAGGTGAAGGAAACGTATGAGGATATTTCTAAAGCCATGCATTCCTACAAAACCCACTACACGGTGTTAATGGGAGACTTCAACGCAAAACTAGGCATAAGAAAGAACGGTGACATAAAGGTAGGGAAATTTGGGATAGGGCAACGGAACCCAAGGGGCCAGCAGCTGGCAGACTTCATGGAGAAAGATTGACTCTTTATAATGAACTCTTTTTTCCAGAAGCGGCCCCACAGAAAGTGGACCTGGTCGAGGTCCGACGGTTCAACAAGAAATTGAATTGACTTAATTATGAAGACTGAGGGCAACTGTTCAGTGATGTCTCAGTGATCGCAAGGGTGAAAACTGGCAGCGGTCACCGAATGGTTAGAGGCACACTGAACCTAAACGTTAAGTTGAACAGGTCTCGTCTAATGAAATCTAAATGAAAACAACGCTCCGTCGCTCTCGTGCTCTTATCCAAGGTCACGAAACCTTTCAGCTAGCTTTATATAATTGGATGGATTGTTTGTTGTTACAAATTTAATAATTTCATAATGATTGATTTGATACGTTAATTTTTGTACAACTCAAATTTCCAAGAATAGACAAATTTGCATGTCTCCATTGGGAACTTAGTATGTAATAAATAGTATTTAATAGTATCTTATATAACATATATACTAAACAGCAAATAAATCAAATAAATGAACTACTATATTCCAGTTTATAATTACATTCTGTGAGGCCCTATCTTCCGAGGTCTAGAAAGATAGGAATTGATACTCAATGGTGGCAACGAGTAACATGTGACTTTCCTTGTTTGAAGTTGGTTGTAGTGTCCGTGAGCAGTAGCTGTTATTATTATTATTAAAAAAATTGAAATAGTTCCGGCCATTAGCAATTTTTACAGGAATTTACAAACAAAAACCTTTCATTATACAATTTATTTAAGTCTTTGGAATGGCAATACAAAAACAACCGTTTAATACTAAATGTCTTTAAAATTATTTATTTGTAAAAAAATTATTACAAAGTTGTTCCTTGTAATTGTTCTCAATGGTTTGACAAACATGACACAGAATTGAAACTTATACATATAATAAGTAATAACAAACGTAATATTACATAACATTTAATTTTAAATAATTACAATACCTAAAGTAGATAAAATTTATTCTATGTAGTCTCCACCTTATTACATAAAATTTGCCAAAATATAATCCAAGTCGGCAAAAGGATTGACGCAGCCACATTGTACAACCAGTTGCCATATATCTGAAACAAAATTTTTACATATTATTTTAGTAAAATTAATTAATATTTTATTTTAAAGATTTTTAATCTATATTAATTAAACAACGAGTTTAAGAACTTTATAATAGGTAGGGAAAAAATTTGTGCTTATTTTTTTTTTTGTATAAAATTAAAGAAAAATATCTTTGGTTGCACTGTTTGTATCAATACATATAAGAAATGAAGAAAAATAAAAAAAGTAAAAAATACTTTCCCGACATTTTTCAATTGTTTTTCTGTCTGCCAAAATGAGTGAATCTACCGAAGAAATTAGATACATTCTGAAGTTTTATTACAAAAATTGGGAAAATGCGCCACAAGCCAAAAAAATTGTGACGTTTATCGACCTAATGCAGTATCAATAAGAGTAGCACAAAGCTGGTTCAAGCGTTTTCCGTCCGGGAATTTTGATGTCAAAGATGCAGCTCGCTCTGACCACCCGTACGTATAAAGTAGATGACATTTTTAAAAAGTGAGGCAAGCTCGGCATATTAGTAGTAACGACATAGCCAAGAAATTGAGGATTGACTAGAAAACAGTTTTGACCCATTTGAAAGTCTGACTATAAATAAAAGCGCGATATTTGGGTACCACACTCATTAGCTCACTCATTAGCGATTCTCTATTGAAACCAAACCATTTTTTAAAAAATTCATCACTGGTGATGAAAAGTGGATCAACTACGACAAGAACGTGCGAAAAAGATCATGGTCAAATGGTAGTCAATCTCTACAGACTGTAGCGAAACCCGGATTAACATACAATAAGGTGATGCTGTATGTATGTTGGGATTGGAAGAGCATCGTTTATTGAGCTTTTCCCGCCAGGCGAAATCATTGATTCGGATCTCTACCGCAAACAACTAATAAGATTCAAGGAAAAATGAGAAAAAAGGCCGGAAATTATCAATAGAAAAAGAGTTGTCTTTCATCACGATAATGCCAGACCACACACATTTTTGGCAACTTAGCAAAAATTTTGAGAGCTTGGTTGTGAAGTGTTAATCCACCATAATATAGTCCTGCCCTTGCACACTCAGATTTTCACCTGTTTCGGTCTCTCCGGAATTCTTTGGGTAGTGTTAGGTTAACATCAAGAGAGGACTGTCAAAATTACTTGTCTCATTTTTGATAAAAAAAAAAGTTAAGATTTCTACAAAAACGGGATTATGTCAGTCGAAATCAATTAAATACGCATTATTAAAGATAACTCAAAAACTACTGGTCAGATCTTGATCAAATATATATGGGAGCACATGAGAAGCACCAGCTTTCAAATAAAGTAAGAATCATCACAATCGGTTCACCTAGAAAAGTTTTGAGGTAACACACATAAACCAAACAAAAAAAAAACAGTCAAATTGAGAACCTCCTTATTTTTTAAAATTTGGTTGAAAATATGTGCCGATTGGTGGCGGTGAAAGAATCCATTAACTGAATACCATGCACATTTTAAGAAACGTTTATAAAAAAAAATCTAGAAACTATCGGGGCTATTTCCCCTAATTTTTGTCTGGTGGTGCGAAACAGGGGGTAGATTTTAAAGTTCGTAGTCTCTGGCAACCCCTTGAGTTCCAGGCGTGAGGCATGCACAAAAAACAACTACTTACTATAATCTGTCGAATTTAGAACCTCCTCATTTTCTAAGTTTACAAAAAAACATAACGCATCTGGAGTATGGTTATACCAAGTGGAATAGAATATAACAATCTTTATTCTAAACTAGTTGTACTCGCGACTCCGTACGCATAGTTTTTAGTATTTTTTTATTTGCCATATACGAATAGGATTTTGTTCACAATATCATGTGTTTTAATTTTTTTGCGAGGAACCCTAATTATTTTTCTAAAATAAAAGTAACTTAAGTGTTACTCCTTATAACAGCAGCTATGTAGAAGTTCCGTCAAAATCAGTCCAGACGTTTCGGAGATATCTCGGGTATAGTTAAATTAATCGAGTAAAATGGCGCGTCAGATTAATTATGTACAGAGATCCTGGAAAAACGAAGAGATCCGGATCGTTTTAGCTCGCTCAATCTTATTAATCAAATTAAAACATTTAAAAAAACCCTGAAACAAAAAGAGCTGATGATCTTCGAATGGCTGAACAGATTTTCTTGAAACATAGCTAAGAATACTTTTGATTTAAAGTAGCTGCATACAGAACGCAATAAGCACGTGTCCGGGAACGAGACAGTACGTGATTGTATGTTAACACCGACAGACGTATGAAATTAATTTGCTAGTGTCGTAAAAGATGGATTTTTCATTTGAAGCATTGAACAAAACGACTGTGTACACGCAACGGAATCACCGCTGGGGCAAACATCTTCACCAACAACATTATTCCCGTCCTGTTCATGCCACGTCTGTTTTAGTTGAACCACCAATAGGTCGGCTCGACCACGCTCTCATAGAAAACCAGCGTAAAATAGCAGCTCCAGGCTGCTGTGCTCCGTATGGTAAGTGCAGAGAACCAGAGACCCTTTTTCCTGGAATCAAGGCATTCCATCTTAGTCCTCACGGGTGACAACGCATTTGTATTTTGATTCTTAATTAAGGATAAATGTATATGTCTATGGGCCACAGCATCCACTTACTATCAGGTGGGCTGTGTGCTCGTTTGTCACCCAATGCTATAAAAAAATCCCTGTCCCGTCCATGAATCCGTAACGTATATTCACGTACAATTTCTATGTAACGGTATTTCCAAAATTTGACGTCTCACTCCGTCTGGAATAAAGCACGTTACATATACAGCAAGCATTTCGACACCTTTCAAACGAAAAAAACTTAATTATAATTGGTTCATCCGTTTAGGAGCTATGACACTACACACAGACACACAGGTACACGCTACAAACTTATAAAACTCTTCCGTTTTCGTCGGGGGTTAAAAAGGTGCCTATGAGAGCAAAGACATCTAACTTTATATACCAGAGAGTCGACAATAGAGAACATGACCGTTTGCAGAGCAGCATCCTTCCCCCGGATCACCATTTTCCATAAGCCTTCTTCTGGAAACAGCACTCTGCTGTACGCGATCGTGCAAAGTGACAGCAAGCACAGAGGTTGGAGAAGCAGGCAGTAGAAACGCTTTAGCTGCAAAGGGATATTGCTGAAAATAAAAAGATTTATTTATTTTAAGGACCACTAACTCAAGTGGATCTCATAAAATTCGAACACAAGACACTAGCCCATAATATTGTACGATCTGCAAAAACTAAGTGGTAAAACCACGCTGGAGCTATACGACATCTGTAGCATGAATGGGTCAGCTCTACTGGGGTAGTACTATACTCGAACAGAACACCAGCGTAAAATAGCAGTCTAATGCTGCTGTGTTTCGGAGCTCAGGGGTGATAACGCATCTGTCTTTTGATTCTTAATTGAAGAGTGATGAAGATGTCTATAGGCCACAGCAACTACTTATCACCATGTGGACTATGAGCTCGTTTGACACCCTTATTCTATAAAAAAGATGACTATGGGCCACAGCGTGCACGTGCCATCAGTTGGACTCTGTGCTCATTTATATGTTGGATAGCAAATACGAAAGTCCATCTATCGGATATACAGATGTTTTCGTATTCATTATAGTATTTTTATCTCACGATGCCAGGTTTGTCTTACTTATTTTGTGAGGGTATATGTACTTAAAAACACCCCCTTCACCAATTGCTTGCATTACGTTCGTCACCAGTCGTGGTTTTCATACTAGTTAACATTAATCGTCAGCCCTTCACAAGTCCACTGCTGAACATAGGCCTCCCCCAAGGAATGCCACCAAGCACGGTGCTGAGCCACCTGCATCCATCGACTTCCTGCATGTCTTACCAGCTCGTCTCTCAATCTAGTGGGGGGCCTCCCCACATTTCTTCCACCGGTACGATTTTGCCACTCGAAAACCTTTCTTCCCCATCGGTTGTCGATTCTTAGAGCTATGTATAGAGCTATTTATAAGAAACATTAAATCATTTTTATTTTTAATTATTTATTTTTACTTTACAATGAAATGGTGGCTCTGGCGTGATTTAGCCGGGGATGTTTCACCCGTGTTCAGAAAGCACGTACAGCCGTTGGTCCTGCGCCTGATCTCACTCCGGTCGTATCGTATTGTCGTCCTACCGGACTACGAGCGTGCGCCTGTGCTCGCACACACGCTCGTGCACTAATTATGTCCTGCGCAGACCGCTAGTCTCCATTGTGACTGGTCGCCGTGACCGAAATGATATTATAATTATTACAATGAAATAAATGATATAATACATATAATATATTTCTTTAAATATATTTGAGATAACATAGAAATTGGTCCACACAATGTAACACAACGTCGCGGCAAGCTCATTAGAAGATGGCGAGATGAACTGCCCCACTTCGGTTTGTTATAGCATAAGGAAAAACGATCACACAGTCTACCTGATGGTAAGTGGTTACTGTGACCCATAAACATCTACATGTATGCTGACTAAGGTGGAATGCTACGTTTCCAGTAATAAGGGTCTCTGATTCGTTACACTCATCATACGAAAAAATAGAAGATAGCAGAATAAGCTGATATATTACGCTGGTATTCTGTGAGTGTGGTCCTTCCCCGGTCAATCCGACCCATTCGCGCTACAACCATATATCGCTACACCATGGCCGTACCACGTAAAATCTGTACTAATTGGACACACAAAGCTTAAAATTGTGAAAGGTTGATGAAGAAAATAAGGGTTAGAAATATCTGTGCTTTGCAGTAAAACACAAGGTGCTGACAATAATAAAGAAAAACGAAAATTAGCAAATTTATAAAAACCACTCACCAATTCCTCCCACCGTTCTCTACCACACTGACCACCAATGCAAGCGGAGTGTAAATAGTGGCCAGAATGAAGCCCAACGAGAAGTTATGCATGCCAATTGCAAGGCACACCGTCGCTAGTTCTATCAGCACCAGGATGTTCACCAGCGACATCTCCTCATGGGTTATGGGTTTGGTGCGGAACATACGAGGTAAAAATGGAGCAACTATGACCAACACCACTGACACTGCGATGAGACCACAATACACTGAGAACTCTGAAGGTTGATTGTAGTATTTTGCACCTGTGAATAATAATTATTGATTATTAAATGAGATAGCGTCCCGAAAAAAAATAGCATTTAACAGGTTAACCGAATAGAAGCCTATGGCACAATAAAGAGATGGTACGCATTATACTCACCTAACTGACTAAATATCACAGGTGAATTCATTACAATATATCCTAAGAGATGCACCAATAGATAATTAGCCCCCATATTAACTATACTAAGGCCATCATCTGTATCTTTCTTTCTTTTTTTTATCTCTCTGTCTTCAGTCACAATTTCCTCGGATTCATCATCTGATGCTTTTTCCGATCTCTTTTTTTCTAATTTCTCATCCTCTTCCTTATCTTTCGATTTGTCTCCGCAAGTTTGCTCCTTTGTTTGCTTGTCCGTTTCAACATCTTCCTGTTGTATGCTGACCCAAAGTGATAAGGCACGTATTAACATCGCTCCACACAGCAGGCATAGACATGGCATATACTGCCCTAAAAGATAAAACAATTTTAAAATATATTACCACACTTACATGAAGAACGATGTTGCGATTATCATGTAGCGGCGGTGTAAGAACACCCACTAGCCCATACCATCCCGCGGGTGTCGCTAGAGGCGACAGAAGGAAACATATCAGCAGATTGACACCAGCGTCTTCCTAGTAACGATAAACAATAAAAAACTGCAATTGTCAGCCCGCTTGCCAATGTGGCAACTGTGGCAAGTATTGCCATTTGTGTGATGAGGTGTCAGACAATCCATGTGAGGGAGGCATTTGTTCAGCAGTCGACTTTAAACGGCTGTAATGGTGAGGGATGGTGCGCTCTACCGAATCGAAACGTAACAAGAGTGCTGTTTGTCACTGTTTCACATTTGGAAAGGGGAACGGCAGATTTAGCACCGCATACTTTTTTTCGTTGTTTTGTTATATAATTAATACCAGATATTAAGGCAACTAAGCCATTAATTTTCATGTAAGTTTTATATTTTTAGAACTTGGGACTAGTTAATATCAATAAAAAGATTTTAATAAATAAACGTAATATAAGCATAAACTAAACGCAATGAGGTTTTCTGCATGAACTGTAGGTCGAGACCGAGACCGGAGATCGCGTTAAGTACTTCGATCGCGATTGCATCAGTATCGAGAGTCTGCCGACGAAATCAGTAGTGTTTTGTGTGGCATGCATGATGGTAAACCAAGTTATAAAACTTCTATTGGAGGAAGAAGAAGACGATAATTTCTCTTATATTATTTTTACAAAAACAGAACTTCCCTTTATGAATTTACCAATTAATGTTCCTAATATAAAATAATTACCATACCGCGCGCAACCAGGCTAGACGTCACACCTATGTAACGTTGTTAGCAAGAATTATTCATTGTGCTAGTTAGAATCGGTTTATGTGTATAAAAGTTGTTGATTACGTGATTTTTCCAAGAAAAACTAAGGTTGACAAGAAATTAAAGTGTTAAAACAGTGTTTGAGTGTAATAACAATAACAAGTAGAATCTATTTCCTTTCAATTTAAATAATTGTCTCGCTGTATACTAATATTTCAATGTACCTTACATTCACTTTGTAATTAAAGAATACGTCCTAGAAATAGATGACATATTTCACCATCTGCGTAGTAATGAACGCAGCGTATTGGTTACGTAGTGGAATACACGAGTAACGAAATCTCGGAGAACTCGGTTCGATCCCTACCGGAGTAATACTTTTTTCAATTGTTAGTCATTGAAAAATATTCATATTTTATATTATAATGGATTCAAATAGTAACTCGAAAAGCAAATGTGCAGGTTGTCCAAATATAATCAAAAGTCGTGAATATTTGAAATGCGCGTATTGTGGTCTCTGTTACGATTTATTGTGCGCAAACGTGTCTGCACAACGATTTGAACTTATGAACAGAGACAATAAAAAATCGTGTAAATGTCATGGTTGTCGCAATAAACAATCAAAATCTGATAACACCAACACACCGGTGCGTACGCAACATATTAACATAGTTTCCGAAATATCGAATGCCCACGAGAATGTTGAGGATAATCATGACCACAATAATGTCACTATGCGGACAGCCCAAAAATTTATTATTGATGACTTAGATTCGGAGACTATGTTAAACATTAAAAATCTTCGGAAAATCATTGAGGAGGAAATAACGGATGCTCTAAAATTAGTAATCCAAGTGCAAGTATCGGAACAGTTGGAGATAATTAAACAGCAAATTACCACTTTCCACGAATCGATGACATTTTTTAATGAAAAGTTCGAAGAAATGAAAAGAAACCTTGCAGAAAAATCAATTATTATAAAAAAATCTTGAAGTTGATAATGAGAAATTGAAAGCTTCTGTTCACAGTATAAGGAATAATTTAAATATAATGGAACAATTCGCTAGATCGTCTAACATCGAAATACAATGTCTACCAGAAAATAGGGAGGAAAACATATTAAATACCGTTGTTCAGATAGGAAAAGTTATAAATTGTAATGTTAACGAAACCGATATCTCGCACTGTATAAGAATTTCGAAACAAAACCCTCAAAGCACCAGGCCAAGATCAGTTCTTGTAAGATTTAATAACCAGCGTATACGTGACTCCTTCATTGCCAGTGCAAGTAAATATAACAAAGAAAGTAAGAGTAAGCTCAACACCAGCCTACTAGGAATTGCATCTGATCCACCGAAAACGATTTATATAGCAGAACATCTGACGGCTAATAACAAAGAACTGCATGCTGCAACAAGGGCTCGTGCAAAAGAACTAGGCTTCAGGTTTGTCTGGGTCAAAAATGGAAAAATTTTTGTGCGGAAAACAGAAAAATCTGAGTGTATTCATATTGTTAACGTGGATAGTTTAAAAAAATTAAGTCCTAATTCTGTGTAGACTATGGTTTTTTCTTTTTTTTTTCACTATCAATGTCGCATGCATAAAGATGACAGAATTCAATTCACGAAACAAAAGTAGACAGTTTATCATGGGGTTGTTAAATGTTCATTCGCTTAATACGGGTTGGGATGAACTTGAAGCCTCATTTCAGTTGGGTAACTTTGATGTCGTTTGTCTAACAGAGACATGGCTAAAAACTGACTCTGATATTGGTGCTTATGCTATTCCTGGCTATAATCTCATACATAAGCCTCGTTGTGGCCGTGGTGGCGGTGTGGGTGTATATGTGAGGTCGAATTTACGTGTAAAACAACTTAATCATCCCGATTCCATACTTGAACAATTATGGATTGATATTAAAATTAAGCGACATAGTTTATTAATTGGAATTGCTTATCGACCTGAGCTTGTAAGTCAAGATATCGCAATCGATGCTCTTGACGAATCTTTATCAATATTTGGATCTAATTACGAGCATGTATTTGTTGTCGGTGATATTAATATAAACTGTATAGATCGTAACAATCATGTAACTCTGCCTAAGTGTTTCGAAGTTCTTACTAACTCTTACAAGCTACATCAAATTGTTAATTTACCGACTCGTATAACGCCACATACTTCGGCACTTATTGATGTCATATTTACTAGAGTTAATTTGCAGCCCACATCGGTAGATGTTGTACATAATGATGACTTAAGTGATCATGGACTAGTAATAGCGACATTTCCTATTAGTGTCCCTAATAGAAAACCCCGTACCGTGCAATACAGACCACTGACAGATAATGCCGAATATATTAAGAAAGCATCTGCATTCACTCCTTGGGAACTCATACTGCAGTATAATGAACTTAATGATATGGTTAATTTATTCAATTTTCTTATTTTAGACCTAATAGATACTTTTGCACCGGTATTTACACGTAAATTTAAAAATCCCCCATCTCCATGGATGACTAATACTCTTATGAACATGAGAAATATTCGTAATAAAGCTTGCCGGAAAGCTAAAAAATGTAATTCCGAATCAGCTATTAAATTTTACCAGGACATGCGCAACATATATAATTGTGCTGTTCGTGTTGAGAAACAGGCATATTTTACCCAATTTGTAAATAATAATATTAATAATCCGTCTTTAATGTGGCGGCACATTAATAAAACAATTAAGAACGGTTCTAGTAAATCAATTCCTGAACATCTTTTGGATGCCACAAAACTTAATACACATTTCATAAATAGTGTTCCTGTGTTGTCGGTTGACTTAAAACAGTTCGAAAATTTTGAAAGTACTCGTAGGAGTAACTTATCGGAGTTCAATTTTAATAGAGTGAGTGCATCAGAGCTACAGAAGATTATTAATTCCTTTTCTTCTAACTCTAAAGGATGTGATGAAATTTGCATGAATATGATTAAGCTTACATTACCATACTCTTTAGTTGCTATTGAAGCCATCGTTAATAAATCATTGTTAGAAGGAGTATTTGCCGATGTTTGGAAGTGCTCATTGATCATACCTATACCTAAGAAACAGAAAATAGACAGCTTTGATGACCTCAGGCCAATAAGTATATTGCCTGCCTTGTCAAAAATAGTTGAGAAGTGTGCACAGTCACAAATTACTAGCTATCTTAAAAACAATGCCATTCTTCCAGTCTTCCAATCGGGTTTCCGGCAAAAATTTAGCACAACTACAGCATTATTACACATCACGGACGATATTCTTACCGCCGCTGATAATGGAAAAGGTACCATTTTAGTGCTACTTGATTTTTCTCGAGCTTTCGACTGCGTTAATATACCACTTTTACTGGCAAAATTAAAAATCTTTGGTTTTTCCGAAACGGCATGTTCGTGGTTTCAATCATACTTCTACGGGCGGAGTCAAAAAGTAAAATGCACCAATACTGAAGGTAATATTGATATTTCGGAGCCCCTATCAATTTCTAAAGGCGTTATTCAAGGTTCTATTCTTGGCCCAACACTCTTCGCCTTATACACAACAGACATAAAAAACGTAGTTCAGCACTCCAAATATCACCTATATGCCGATGACACTCAATTGTACGTCCATATGTCACCAACAAAAGACAGTATTACAACAGCGGTTACCAGCTTAAATAATGATCTAAAATTAATAGAGCATTGGTCAAAGTCTCATGGCTTGCTTCTGAATCCCAAAAAAAGTACATGTATAATAATGGGTACACGTCATCAGGTTGCATCTATCAAAAAAATTGACCCAACTGTCATGATCAATGACGCAACCATACCTAGAGATAATTGCATTCGTAACTTGGGCCTTAATATGGATGAAGGTTTAACGTTTGTACAACACGTACAACAAAAAATAGGAAAATGTTTTGGGTCTTTAAAATCTCTTTACAAAATTCGTTCTTTTCTGAAACCAAACATCCGACTCCGTCTTTGTAATAGTCTTGTCTTGTCACATTTGCATTTTTGCAACTTGGTATATGGTCCCTGCCTCTCACAGAAAACCATAGGGAGAATTCAAAGGGTTAAAAATGCGTGTATGCGCTATTGTTTTGACATACCTAGGACTAACCACATAACTCCTTATCTCCTCAAAAATAATATTTTAAGTATGAGTTACACCAGAAAATTAAAATATGCTTGTTTCGTACACTCATTAAATAATTCGCAATGTCCTCATTATTTATATGAAAAATTATCTCCAAATGTCGACTAACACGTTTGAGACGAAGGGGTAAACTATTATATATACTTCCAACTTATAAGCGTGTTAAAGCAAAAGGATGTTTCAAATATGCTGCCTCCAAAATTTGGAACAATATACCTCCTCCTTTGCAGGAGATCGTAAATACAAATTTATTTAAAAAGAAATGTAAAGTATGGTTACTTGAACAACAAAAGTTGGAGGCAGGTATGAACTATTATATATAACTACAGACTTAATTCTTACTAATACCATTGAGAATCGTTGAAATTTCTGGTAGGCCCAGAGGCGATTGTCTCCTTTACCTACTACTTACTAAAGTTGCATAGCACATATGAATAAACATTTTAGTCTATTCTTTAGTTGTATTACGTCAATGCCAAAATTAGGTTAATATACTGTGTTTTTAAAATAGTCGGCTGTGGCAGAATACCAGCGGTGACCTAAAATCACCACATAGCTGAGTCACAGGCCAGTTTGTCTCATTACTGTTATGTTAATGTATGTTTCTAAGTTAAGTTTGTAATGATTTCTATTTGTATTTTTTAATAACATGTGTAAACTGAGACAAATAAAAAGCTTTATTATTATTATTATTATTATAATGAATTAATAATACTTATAAATCAAGGCGTTTCACAGTTTTCGTCAGAAAAAGTATTTATAAACACTAAAGTCATGTGCTTTTTGAACGAGACACGAGACACTACTCGTCCGGGGCAGCGACTGTGTCGCTGTCTCGCTCGCGAACTGCCACTCATATAGTAACAGTCGCAATTTCCTGTCGCGGTCTCCGGTCGTGCTCTCCTGTCTCTGTCGCGGCACGAACCGCCACCTTTAAGGTGCAATCACCTTAATTCAATTTTTAATACAACATGTGAAGTGCAACGTTGTTTAAAATTATAATGGCCTTATACCTAACCAATTCATTAAAAATAACCTTGTTTATTTAAGTTAATACCATAAATACCATTGTCATAATAAGATAGGATTGTTTCAATGTACCTGAAAAATTAAACTGATAAGTAAAAATATTTAGTTTTGAAACTTTTTAGAAAGGTTTAAAGTCCCTGGTTATAAAAATAGGCCGGATTAGCTCCCAAAAAAGATTTCAGGGAGTAAAACGTAAATGAAACCTTATTTTTATTATGTTATAAAACATTTTACTTCATCATTTGCGTTTACTTGTTTAGAAATTGCATACCTTGATAAAACGGCGTAACTCGAAGCATTTTTGTTACTAGACGGATTTGCCTCCAATCCTCGGGAAAATCCGTCTAAGGACCGACTTTTAAAAAAACCTTGTTAGTTACATGTGGAGGGCTGTTTTGTTGTTTAAAATAGATGAGTATACAAGGCAACAAAATTTTGTATCGCTTAAAACCATCAAATTTATATTAGAGTAGTAAGTGTACCAGTTTTAGTTAACCAAATTCAACTTTCAAAAAAGTATGACGGATTTGCCCACATTGACCTTACATTAGTAAAGAAAATATTTTTTTTTATTTCAATAACCAGTTCAGTTTTTTTAAATTATGTCGATAAGATCGAAAAATATTATTCATATATCATCAGTATGTAATTGGTATCCAAATACAATTTCCAAAAAACACGACTTCCATATAAAATACCGAGCAAAGGTTGACTCTTTTTGTTGCATTTTTAAATTATTGAATTCAAGAGAAAAATAATAAAATTGTTTGTAAACTTTACAAACTTGTTTCACTGCACCAT